CTCTTGCCCCCCCATGACAGGGGCAAGAGGTGAGTGGGGCGCTGAGTGCCTGCAGGAACAGCGTTCCTGCTCAAAAAAAGTGCAGGAACGCTGTTCCTGCAGGACTCAGTGCCACGGGGATTAGGGTGTGCCCAGGCACACCCGGCACACCCCGTGCGCACGCCTATGTGTGTGAAGTGTGACTGTGTTGGATGATATAAGGCATAGAGAAAGTGTGTGTGTGTGTGGTGTAGATGGGACTGGGATCACATATTAAAAGAAAAAAACTGTATTTTCCCCCTCCATTCTTCTTACTTTTTGGCAGTGAAGAGGGACATTGCAAAATCTGGTGACGTTGAGTGACTCTAGGAGTTCACTCCTCTTGCAAGCTCCACACTTCTCTATGAACGTTGCTGTAAAAGAGCCTCCCAGATCCTCCTCTTCCCACACTCTCCTACAGTAAAGTACGAGGGGGCCGGTGAACGAAGGCATCCAGCTTCAATTACTCTCAAACATTTAGAAGTTAAATAATTTGGTTTATGCAACACCATCCTGCATGTGACAGTTTTCCTAAGCACTTCCTGTAAAGCTCTAATGTTTAAACTTACTTTATTACACGGTATGTTTGATTTAGAGCATTTTTTCTTCTGCTCTGTTAATGGCCTTGGTCTCCTGTATCTGAATAAAGTTCAATTTACTGGGCATGAGATAAAAACTTCTGAAGTAAGTTAATATCTGGATGAAAATTTAAAAAAAATGTCATGCAGGCTGTGTGAACCACAGCCAAGGGATGTGTGGCTAGGGCCGCATTAACAGAAACAAATGTGATTTAACTCCTAAATGGCAGAGAATTGAGCAGTGAGACTGCAAGGACATGATCAATGTGTCAAACCTGCTTCAGTTAACTAAAGTTGGTTTGATGCCTATAGTATCCCTTTAAATTCTGAATCCTGTGATATATGTAGAACCCATATCTCTGCCAGGAAAATGATAATTTACTATTTTTGTTCTCTATAAATAAAAGAATACTTGACTCTATTTAAAGATATCCCTAATTAGAAAACAGACAATGCCATTCTGTTGAACTCTGTGAATAGTCTATGTCATGAACCGAGACTCTCGAGAAGTGTTTTTAGCAGAAGTTAAGTGTTACATCAATGCAAGAAATTATGATATCTGAGTCTGTGAGGTTTCTTGAGAAATTGGGGGTCTTACACATTTAATCACACGGTGCTTATGTTTGGCAGGAATTAATGGATTTGTTAAGCGATCTGATTTGGTGACATATTAAGAAAATTATAGGAATAAATTAACTATTTTTTTTTGTGTATTGTAGATGCAAAAAACCACTATATTGCAATGGTTTAAATTACTCAAAATTAGAAAATTTAATTTCTTTGTAACGTCAAGTAGCTACCTGATGCAATGGATAAGGTTAAGTAAAAATGTATGTAAAATGAAAAATACATGTAATACTCTAAGAGTGGAACGATCTTATTTATTTATTTTTTTAAATTCTTTATTTTTTACTCAATAAACAGAGCAAGTGTACATCCTTTTTTGGGCTTTCGCAGAAGCCAACTTGAATACAATTCTTGGAAACATAATGCAGTCCAACAAAAACAATACATTCCTATTACTTAAAAACCATTGACACTTGTCATCTACTGAGAGATTATTATTTTAAACAATGACAGGCATTTAGGCGATACAAATAGGGAACGATCTTTTTTAAAACAAATAAAATCACCAGGACAACCCTCAAATTTCCACGGTGTCTGGACCACTTTGTGAAACGGAACCCTCTTTTGTTCCAGAGATACTTATAAAGTTCCCCAATACTGCTTTATACAGGGGCTTGTCATGGAAGTCATAGCAAAAATATTAATCAAACATTGTTACATCGGGCTGGCTTTGTGCAAGGTCTGAAGGCCAAGCAAACATGGTCATTCATGAAACATTTTATCTAGGTCAGCTGCGTATGAATGACAGAGAAACCATTATTCTCTGGCACCAACAGACATCAGGAAAGTCTGGAGCTATATTACCTCCTTGGTTTATAAAATATTAATTTTACAGAAATCAATCTGGTTTCCCCTAATGTGAAGAAATTCTTGTTGCAAATACTTTATATTTTTTTATTAGGAATGTAGTAATTTAGTCATATGAGCAAAACATGGATACTTTCACGGTGATATTAAAAATAAGAAATATTTATGTTGGCTTTATTGTCCAATTCAAAACATGAATACACAATTAAATGGAATAAGATTAAATGGATTATGATTTAACTTATTTAAATGGACTGAACAGTAGGATGAGGGCACCATAGGGTGGATTTATGTAACATATTAACATGCTGCACATATCTAATAAAATAAAAATATCCATTTATTTCAATCTAATATTCTTACTACTTGCTTGGTAGGGAACATGAGCTCATACAGTGGTTAATGTCAAGTTCGTCTTTCAGCTGCCTCTGTCTGATTTATGTTTTCCTAAATTATCACTGGGCATATCCTGGTCACGTGGCTGTCTGGACGTGTACAGTCATCTGAAAAGCATTTTGCACTCATCCCTCGTTATATATATCCACTATATTTAAAATGATCAGTCTTTGTAAATGTAATGACCAAGTGTCACATTACCAGACAACGCATAGTTTCCTTGCTCGCTGATGTGCTTTATGTTTTGGAGTGTCATACCTGCATCTGTCTGCTGTCTGCATCCTGTCTCTGCCAGACAGCCACAAAATGCCTTAATCATGCTGTTTTTTTAGTAAATAGTAGACATCATTCCTTATTCTGTTTCCCCATAATTACGTTGTACACAATTGCAGAATATTTATTGTCATTCAGATAAATGTTGTTTTTTGTATTTTTTTTATTTTTTATAATTCTTTATTTTTGTTGTGCTTGATATTAACAAAGAATGCACAATGTACACTGGGAGAGTCACAGTATGATGACAAGTCCATTAAATCGGTAATAGTAACAACCCCTAAGGTAACATCGCCAGGACGTACTTGAAAACCAGAGTAATCTGAATGTACCTTTCCTGGTTAAATACGGTGTTATTATTATTATAAAGTCAGAGTAGGAAAGTGCATATAGGCATATCAGCATATTTTTAGGGTGAAGGACATGTTGCAGAGAAAGTGTGCAGATTGAGTTAGGCAGTGAGGGTAATCAAGTTACTGCACCAAGATAAGACTATATAGAATGATATATAAAACATGAGGGAAACAGGTGCAGAACAGCTTAAGACATTATGCACTATAACATTCTCTAGTTAGGTTGAACTAGAGCAAGTGTACATCTTAGATTCACATAAGATAGAGAAGTACCACCTAGAGGAGTTCTACTGGCTACAGCTTAGTATACTTAATAGTTGACTTCAAGGCCGTCTATAATATGAATAGGACCCTGGGCAAAGACTTTTGTTGGGCCCCTGGGGCCCTGCAGCCCTCCCAATCCCCCCTCGCCCCCAATTACACCCAACCCCCAATCACACTGACATACTGACACATACACACACAGACAGACATATTAAAACATTCACAGACACATACTAACACACACATATACTGACACACAAATATATACTGGCACACAAATATATACTGGCAGGCATATTGACACACATTCAGACATACTGACACACACACACTGACAGATATACTGACACACACACAGACACTGACAGAAATACTGACACAGACACATACACTGACAGACGTATTGACACACACAGACATGCTGACACACATAGGCATACTGACATACACACAGACACACTGACACACACACAGGCATACTGACATACACACAGGCAGACTTACTGACACACACAGACACACACAGACACATACACTGACAAACATACTGACACACACACAGACATATACACTGACAGAAATACTGACACACACACATACACTGAGAGAAGTATTGACACACACAGACATACTGATATACACACACTGACACACAGACAGACATACTGACAGACACACAGACAGACATACTGACACACACACATACATACTGACACACACACATACATACTGACACACACACAAACATACTGACAAACACACAGACATACTGACACACACACAGACAGATATTTGACACACACAGACATACTGACATACACACAGACAGACATACTGACATACACACAGACATACTGACACACACACAGACACACATACACTGACAGACTATTGACACACACACAGACAGACATACTGACATACACACAGACATACTGACACACTGACAGACTATTGACACACACACACAGACATGCTGACACACACAGGCATACTGACATACATTTAGCCACCCTCCAACCACCCTTACCTTTTCTGGAGAGTGGTTTCCCTGGGGTCCAGTGGCAGGCTCAGGCAGTTGGGAGTTCTCCTCTGAAACTCCCCTCCTCCCTGCTTTCCTCCTCCCGCGCGGCTCTGATCTCCGGTAGGAGGAAGTGACGTGCGACACTCACTTCCTCCCAGCCGGCTGCCAAACAGGAAGGGGCCCGGTGGCGCTGTTTAAGCGTCACAGAGCCCGACCGGGCCCCAGCTGACAAATGCCCACCGGGTGGCCCTTAGTGCATGGGCCACCCGGGGGCCCTTTTTAGCGTGTGGGACAGAGCTGCACCGCCGGATCCAAGGGGGGCTGCGCAAATCGCGGGGGCCCGCAGGGCAGCTGCTCTGGGGCCCCCCAGGAGCAACTGGGCCGTTTGCCCCGCGCTAAAGACGGCCCTGGTTGACTTAGCGATATGTAATTAGAAGAGGGAAACAGTAATAATGGGCTCAGAGTTCTGTGGTCATCCAATGCATTTGGCAAGCAGGCCATGCTGAGGCAGGTGATCAGGGACTTCGGGACCATCGCAGGCTGTATTTCACGTCGCTGTTAACCAGCTCCCCCAGTTACATGCTCTCCTCGCAACAGTCAGGCTGAGTCCTTGAGATTCTGAGGAGCGCTGGACTGCCTGGGCGCTTGAGCCGCGTGCGGTTAGGTGAGGTCAGCAAGATCCCTGTCTGGAAGGGTGCCTCCATGTGTGAGTTCCGCGAGTAGGCTTTCCACAGGTGCAGGCTGCGTGGGATACTTGCTCATCTTGGCTCTCAGCCTAGAAGAGGAACAGGATGTTGGTACGAAGCCGGAGGCCTCCGTGGTCCCGGCTAAAGTGAGTGTGGGATGCTTCTGGCGGGACTCGATCTGGGTCCAGAATGCTGCACACAGGGTGTCAAAAGCCGTCTGGAACTTGATTTCTAAATGAAGCAGGTGCTTGGTCGGTGCGGAAGCCATCTTAGATTCCGAACTTGCCTCTTGTCTGTAAGATGAGTTTAAGCTGCTATGACATGAAGGTGTAGTAGCGTTCCCTGGTGGGGACTGGGATATCCCCCACCAGTCCAAAGGTGGCGGGGGAGAACCAATATGCTTTATCTGCTTAGCCGACCAGAACTGAAGGAGAGGGGCTGTGTTTCCCACGTCAGGTCCACCTGTAGGCCGCAAAGTCAGGAGTTGGGCAATCCAGTGAGTAGCATCGCGAGTTTAACGTTGGTGGTGTGCCAGGATGCCCCCAATCATGCAAATGTTTTTATGTGGTCTGATCTGTAAATTGGAAGCCGTTTAGAACTTTAAATCAGTTCTTGGAGTAGGGGCTCGCAAAGCATGCGTCTCCTCCGCTCGGATGTCAGGCCCCGTCCCCTTCATTCAGATAAATGTTAACAATATAAATAATATAAATAATATAAATAATAGCATTTTAGAACTTTAAAATCTCGATATAAATATTCCAGAAATAACTTCAAAATGTTATTTTGTTTCACAATTTGTGAACATTTGGTAAAGGGGCAGTTTGAACTTAAATTGGTCCATTCCTTTTATAAAGCACAATAAAAATACAATTAACTGAGAATAATAAAAAAGATAAAGAGAGAGAATTACTTTAAAAGGTATTTCTTCTTATGCAAATACATGCATTATCAGTCGTAGCATTGTGCACTCCAAAAAAGAAATAATTTAGCCAGGGAAGTACTTCCCATTCTGGTTAATGAAAACACAGCTGTTGGAAATGTCTAACAAATTACTGAGTTAAAGTCAAGATGCCAAAAAAATGCAATATTGCAATATGCAATGATCCCTTTTTTATTGGACTAACATTATACTTATTTTAGTTCAATAAAAAAAGGGATCATTACATACTCTGGTGTTTTGGCATCTTGACTATTGAACTAATATGGCTAATCCAATCTGAGTTAAAGTCTAAATCGGAGAGACTGATTAGTATGTCAAATATATCTGGTCAAAGGCTCACTTCTGCTCAGAGCAAGTTTTTCACAAAGCTATTAATACATAGAAGCTGTAATGATGCCTACAATGTTGATTTCAAATTAAAAGTACACTGTTACCAAAAAAACAACTTTAGCTTAATGCAGCAGTTTTGGTGTATACATCATGCCTCTGCAGTCTCACTGCTCAATTATTTGCCATTTAGCATTAAATCACTTTATTCATTCAGCCCTAGTCACACCTCCCTGCATGTGACTTGCCAGTCTTCCTAAACACTTCCTGTAAAGAGCCATCTAATGTTTACACGTCCTTTGTTGCAAATTTTGTTTGTTAGAATTTCTCATCTCCTGCTCTGTTAATAGCGTGCTAGACTGTGTAAGAACCTCCAGTATGTCATAAAAGTTAAATTTTCAGAACAGGAGATAACTTTCAAAGTAAGTTAACCTATGAGTGTAAATTAAACCATTGTTTTCATGCAGTCACAGCCGGGGGAGGTGTGGCTAGGGCTCAGGGCCGGACTGGGAAGAAAATTCGGCTCGGGCATTTTTTAATTACAGCGGCCCACTCAAAAGGGGGCGGGGCCAGATAGGGTGTGTTTTGTCATCACCAATGACAAGCACGCCCCATCACAAAGTGAGCATGTTGGTTCAATGCTCTTCCAGGGTAGACCATGCGCAGAGCTCTGCTGAAGAGCTCTGGCATGAGAAAAATACCCTGTATTTGTTCTGCACAGCGCAAGCAAATTTAATAACATGCTTGCACTGTGTTTGCTTAAAATTTGTCTCTGGTGTCTCCATAGTTGGGATACCAGGAGACAAAAATGCCTGGAAAGCATATTGTGCAGTGTGTGTGAAGGTGCTGTGTGTGTGTGTGTGTGTATAAGGGGTGTAGTGTGTGTGAGAGAGGGGTGCAGTGTGTGTATGTGAGTGATGGGTGCTGCGTTTGCGTGAGGGTGCTATGTGGGTAAGGGTGCTGTGTGTGTGATGGGTGCAGTGTGTGTGCTGTGTGTGAGTGGGTGCTGTGTTTGCATGAGGGTGCTATGTGCATGTGAGGAAGCTGTGTGTGAGGGTGCAGTATATTAATGTGAGGAAGCTGTGAGTGTCAGGGGTGCAGTGTGTGTAAGTGAGGGTGTGTGATGGTGCTGTGAGTGTCAGGGGTGCAGTGTGTGTGCTGTGCGTGTCAGGGGTGCAATGTGTGTGTGTGAGGGTGCTGTGAGTGTTAGGGGTGCATTTTGTGTGTGCTGTGAGTGTCAGACGTGTAGTGTGTGAGTGAGGGTGCAGTGCGTGTCAGGGGTGCAGTGTGTGAGGGTGCTGTGAGTGTCAAGGGTGCAGCGTGTGTGCTGTGAGTGTCAGGGGTGCAGTGTGTGTATGTGTGAGTGTCAGGGGTGCAGTGTGTGTGAGTGAGGGTGCTGTGAGTGTGAGGGGTGCAGTGTGTGTGCTGTGAGTGTCAGGGGTGCAGTGTGTGTGTGAGGGTGCTGTGAGTGTCAGGGGTGCAGTGTGTGTGTGTGTGAGTGTCAGGGGTGCAGTGTGTGTGTGTGAGTGAGGGTGCTGGGAGTGTTATGTGCCCTGCTGTGCCCTGATTATATCCCCCCTCCCTGCTTACCTTATGCCTGGGAGGGGGGATCCTGCTACTGGGGCTTCCATCCATCCCTGGTGGTCCTAGTGGTGAGTGAACTCTAGCCTGTTGGGCTAGAGTTCACTCTCGCGAGACCCAGAGCGTTGCCATGGCAACGCTCCGAATCTCGCGAGAGGAACCCGGCGGAGCTGTAAGTTAAAGCTCCGCCGGGTTCCTCTGCTGGCAGGCTGGCTCCCTCCCTCTCTCCCCCGGCGGCCGCAGTATTCTCTATGTGGGCCGGTGAGGGAGATCTCTGATCTCCCCACCGGCCCGCTGTAGACTACTGCAGGGCCGGCGTTCAGATAGTGCCGGCCCTGCAAAGACCGGCAGGAGAGATCCTGTGATCTCCCTGCCGGCCTCGGCCCCACGGCCACCGTGGCCCACCGGGCATTTGCCCGGTGTGCCCGATGGCCAGTCCGGGCCTGCTAGGGCTGCATAGACAGAAACAAAGGTGATATAACTCCTAACTGCTTTATTAAGCTAAATTTATGTTGATGACTATAGTGTCCCATTAAGGTGACTAATTAGCCAAGCATGTGCATTAGCAGATTCTCGTGCCACTTTGCATCTCTGGGCATTTCACCTGGTGCAGATTGTGAATTATAGGAGTTATAGTCTGTGAAGAAATCCCTATTTATTCCCCTTAGTTCACCTTTATTCATTTGGTAGATCTAACTACCGAACAAAGACCACCCTCCTGGCTCATTCAGCTTCAAAGGATTCATCAATTAACCCCTCTATCTGTGCGGCCAACGTTCGTACTACCGAACGCCACGTGGCTGAGAAAACCGCGGCCATCTTTTTTCAACTGAAAAGAAAAAAGCGGGACTTGGTCATCGAGTGTCTGGAACTAAAATCGGACACTCGACTTCCCGAACACCGGTCTCCAACAGACGAACACTGGAACTATATTTCCTGAATAGCTAGAAGAGCGCTATTCGATTTATTTGTGCATTCGACAGAGGGGAACAATCGCTGCTGAGAGCCAGGGGGATCCATTCGGTACTTTATTAGTTTTTTCCCCTTTACTGAAGTGACCGGCAAAACCACCCAAACTCATGGAACTATTTTGGGCAGCCAGCCCACGGTTAGCCGGTCACAGAAGACTTCCACCTTTTTTGAGAACCCCTGAACCGAGCTGGGTGAAATTTGAATATGTTGGTCACCCAGATCGGGGCTATCAGGGGACATATTATTTGTGGGGATACCTCATGTTCCAGATATTGGGGAAAATTGTGATTTTTCTGCCTGGAGATAATCAAGTTATTACTTTATCAGACTTGATTATCTCCAGGACTAGGGGAGGGAATTGTATGTGTGTACTGGGTGTGTTTTATGTTTTTACTGTGTCGGATTGGTTAAACTCTGTCCCTCCCTGTGGGATGTTCCATTGCATGGGGACTTGCATAAAAGCCTGTGTGTGATCATTAAAGCTCAGTTCAGTTGTACCCTTCTTCTTGACTTCGGCTGATGTTTGGGGATTCGTGTGCTTTATTAAGGAAATTATCTTATGAAGCTATTTGGATTACTATACAGTTCGTCTATTTCATCTACTGAACGGAGAGCTATATTCACTGATGCTCTGGCGGTTCGGGAGGAAACTACCGAATGAGGATTACATATACCAGGTTTCCTTACATAGTCAAAAGCATATTCTTAGCCCTGATTATGTGTTTATCTAGATAACACCTACAAAGTTGGCATCTTTACTTATGTCACAGTTCCTGCTTCATATGGACTTCACTGTGGAACATTTGTTGATACCATGCATCATTCCAGCATTCTTTTTGATGCTGACCACTTTGCTCACGATTCTCCTTATAGCTAGAACAAGTTCCATAATTTTTGGAGCTGCAGCAGGCGGCGACATTCTGGGTATGGACATTCTGGAGTCACAAATCATTTCTGGGTTATTTAAAACCAATTCATTCTCAGTTCATTGCCTTTGTCTACCCAAGAGTGCATTCCTATTGTTTATTGTTTTTTCCGATTTTGATTTGGGTCAGTTATTTGACTATCCTGACTCTTGTAATCCTTGGCCTTGATCTGATCCTCATTTCTTTGTTCTTCTATGTCCCATTGACCGTAGCGACTCTTTTTTTACACTCTTTCTGCTTGCATATAGTCTCAACCATATTATTGTTCTGTGAAGCCAGGCCATTCTAAGCACCGTATTATCTTGCTCACTAGTGTCTTTTATCTGCTGTTTACCTGGGTTTTCGTGTTAGGGCAAATATACCCACCTTGACAATTGTAAACTATTCTATGTGTTAAATGGACTTTCCAGGCACCAACACAACTTAAGTGCATTTATAGGTTTTGGCCTCATAGTCATGCTGTACTTTTCTGCTCGCTCAATTCTTTTTTTGCAGCTTCCTGCTGCTCTCCTCTTTTCATAA